AATATAAAAAGTTACATAAACACTGTATTTCAGGATTTTGTTTTTAAAATATGAAAATAGTTATATACCATTAAAGAAATTACTTGGCAGATGAAGGATCAATTTTACAGTCTGCCTAAAAGAAAGTGAACTTATTTTCCTCTCTTGATATAAACAGCATCATATGAAATACAAATACATTAACTGTCATGTAATTAAATCTGGATGGAACATTGAATGTTTGTTTCAAACTTGGTAAAACTTTTACAAAATTATTTGCATTGATGCACCAAGTTTGTGGCAATGGTTTATCGATTGTGTGTATACATTTGCAAGATATACTGGTATTTCAAAGGCTGGAGAAAAGATATTAGTAAAGACTTGATGTCTGTCTATCTGAAAACTACAGTCTTAAAAAAAAAAAAAAAAAAAAAAAAAAAATGTTAGTCAATCTGAAGTGGTAATGCTAAATACTTGCTACAGAATTTGGCACACTATGAGGTTTCATGCCATTTTGATAAAAAAATCAATGAAAAGAAAAAATGATCCCCAAAAGCTAACTAAAGAACTGAGAAAAAAAATGTGGTCTGAGTATGTTATTTAGTAAGCCTCAAAATTCTTAGATTCTTTCATCAGTGACATGACTTGAAAACCAAGCACCAGAGAACAGTATGAAAAATTTTGGGTTTGTCAAATAAAGCTTGTTTCCAAGGATATATAAAGATAATATTAATATCCATTTTGCAATTCAAAAAATGTCCTTCATTATGAATTCAGTTCGAAAGGTGGTACTGTCATCAGGCAATATTATTAGCTTGTTATGGAACATTTTTAGCATTAAAACTGTGTTGGATTTTCATGATTTTTCCTGTATGTTAGATACAAGCCAATTTCCAATAAAAATATCCTACAAAGGCATTCTGTTCCTTGGCACAGATAGCCTTCGTACACTTTGCCTTAACTAAATAACAAACAATTGCATTATGTAAATTTTTGGCTATAAACATGTTTTAATCATCTATGTTTGCCAGATTGATTGGGATTCAACCATTTCCTGCTTCCCTAAATGATAATAAAAGGAATTTTCTGTTGTGACACTGAAATCATTTAAAAAATAAGTTTGCCAATTTATCCCAATTTTGACTAAGATGCCCAGCACCAAACTATAAAAGGAGTATATTTTGAATAAGAAATTTGTTTTGTAACAAAATATTCAGTATTTTGTATTTTGTTTAAAATGTTCAGTTTCTTTTTAGACACACTGTTTATAATTTAAAAGACTGCAAAAAATAAATAAATAATGCTTAATACACAATAATAGTTATACTTGTACGATAAGGAAAAGAAAAGCACTGCAATATTGCCATGACTTTCTTAGTTGCACTATAAAATTAATATTATAAAATGCTTCACTTCTATGCAAATCTCCCCTCCCCCCCCAAAAAAAACTAATGCTGCTATTTATTTGAGACTAGAATGCCTTAATTGTTTTATAATACTATCTAAGCAAAAGCTACCTATCAGATGGGGTTTTCTGGATTCATAATAGTAAAATTTGAAACTATACATTTTGCACAAAAAATCTTTACTTGGAAGATACTATAAAATTCTAACTCTATCGAAAGAAGAAAGAATAAATCGGTGTTTGAAAGTAGATATGTAGATTTAATAAACCACTGCTTTCCATGAGATTAAAATTCTATTTATATTTTAAATAAATACATGAAGACACAATGTATAAACAAGTAGATTTAATTTTGAGTATCAAGTGAGTATGTATTTCATGTTAACTTACAAAAATCGAGCACAGCAAATAAAAAATTTAAATTTCTTTTTAGGACAATCCTTATAAATATACTATTAACAAGTACAGATTACAAACAAAATAACTTAAACATGCAGACCAGCACATAATGAATGTAAATCATCTACTTAATATTTAATTAAATCTTGTTGTCATGAATTAATGATATTCTAGAAACAAAGTGTTTAATGATACTTTTAAGATCAGCAGCTTTATTCTCTTGCACTTAACTGTAATTGAGAAGTGCATATATCACATGGAACTTTTAAAGAATTATTTGATGTATGGCTATACTGTGGACATTAGATCAATGAATAAAAATATTATATGGATCTCCTCCCCCCAAATCTTTCAAAAGCTTAGCTAAACAGAACTATGCATAATAATAATTTGCTAAGAGAATAAAAACATTTTAAGTTTCTCATATTTAGAAATTTAACTAAATATTAACTTATATAACTATCTGATTTAAAACTTAATATTGGTTGCATAATACAATCCGTAAAATATTAATGTTTAGCATAACATGACTTAAAATAAAAATCAGCCAATCTGTAGTTTAATAAGGCTGATTTGCAGTTAAATTTTAAAAAGAAACATGCTGAATAGAAAAATATAAATTATTAACATCTTTATACAAAATAAGACTGATAAGTTTTAAATATTGCATAGTCTTTGTCTGGAAGACTATTATTAGAAAAATTACTTTAACATAATGGTTTTCACACTATAAAATCACAGGTGAACAGTACTGACAAGTGTTAATATATACTCAAGTAACAGTACATTACATCAATAAAAGTTTATAGTTCAATTTACTGTGCACTTTTTCTAAAAATACATTAGTTTTACTGACACCAAAAGTCATACATAATAAAATGGAATTCAAATATAATAAAATGGAATGCAAGCTAGGAAATAAAAAGCTATCATTAATTACTTTCATTAACATTTTTAATTTCATTGTTACAATATGTGATACATAACACATATACAAATACGGAAAAGAGAAAACAAATATTCTGAAAAAGAAATATATATATATACACACATATGCATAAAATAACAAATTACATGCTCAAGTACTCAATTATATGTTAAAAAATTCATGTTTATTAAAAATTTAAATATAGAATTTCAGTTATTTTAAACACTGCAGTATAATATTTTAATTTGTTTTAAATGCTGAACAAGCTTATCTTTTAAAATATCAGCTCTACAGATGCTTTTACTACCAATTTATTTTTTTATGCAGCCTTTTTTTTTTTTTTCCTTCTTTTCTGTTATTGTACAATGTGTTCACATTTTATGTGGCAGAGAATTTTCTCATTACAGTAATTTTCTCAGGAGCAATAAAATGAAACTACCAACAGTTTTTTTCAATGCAATATATTTCTATATGTATATATTCTAGCAGGCCATGAATTTACTGGGAGATATGACTCATTGGTAGTAAAAGGGTTTTAAAGAAATCTAACAATCTGCACACATTAAAATTCCTTAAAGATAGGTAAATTAAGCTTTACATAACTGAAAACAGTGATGTTTAAAAAACTTTTCAAGCAACTTTTGATTGCTTAAAATCATTATTTGCATTTAAAGACTGTTTCAAAAAATGCTAAAAATTCATTTTTTTAGAACAAATCATAAGAATTTTTAAGTTGTACTTTTATGACATAAAAAGAATATCCCTATTTTATAAGTAGGTGGGAGGCAGAATAAATTGACAATTAATTGATATTTATAAAAAAATGTTTGTTCAAAAATCAGTTAAAAGTAACTGCAAAAAACTGTTTTTTATTTTCCAAGAAATAACTAAGTTATGTTTTAACATGTCCAATTATAATGTGTTCATTGAAAACCTTTTCAAAACATTAAAACTGGGATTGCTAATGATGTAATAACTAAGATAAAAAGATTAAGAGACAAATAAAACATTGCAGCAAAACAAGGTAGTTTTATAATTAAAAACATAATGCAAAGATTCAAAAATATCTAAATTTTCAAATGTCAAAGCAAATAATATATTGCAGATCTTCTTTACCATATTCAGATTCTGTTTAATCCAAAAGAGCTCTTATTTTTAATATAGCTTAAATTCTAAATTCGAAACTTCAAATCACGGCAGGAAAACATATAACTATATTTTAAAACACTTTTTAAATTATGATTTTACATTACAATTCTTACACTTCTTTCTTATAAATACTCTTGCATAAATGATTTAATTTATTACTGCATTTCATGCATACATGAAAGTTTAATATAATTAACAATTTATAGAATACATATCTTTAGAGTATTTGCCAAAACTTTGGTGCCACTCAGGTATTTGCACAGTATATTTTTTTCCAATTTTTTTCCAGACTTTACTTATATGAAATCAGTAACTCGATAGTGAAAATTTACCTCAACACTTGTTACTAACAAGATAACAACTGCAGAATGTACAGGCACTTCACTGGAAACAACTAACAAACCAACCAGTAGTTAAATATCAATGGTTTTAAAATACTTTAAAGCTAAAAATTTTAACAGTACTCTAAGAGTTGTTTAATGAAGATTTATTGAATACAAAATTATGATACCATATTTACACATATAGTCTTCCCTCCTCCATTTCTTTATCAATTTAACTTCTTGAAAACCAAGAGAGGAAAATCATGCTGTATACACCATTTATGAAGGAAAGGATTAAATGAATAATTTAATAAATACACAAATGATAAAATGTACTAATACAATAGCATTTTAATAATCTGTACACATTGGAATCAGGTCTCTGTACACATTGGAATCATCATTGGAATTGGTCTGTTTTGTTTGTAATTGTTGTAATTGCTGTGTTCTGCTGAGTTTTGTTTATAATTGCTGTGTTCTGAACTTTACATAAATCTGAATTGTTTGCAAGTAAGTAATTATCAAAATATATCCATACCTTAAGAATGACTTAATCAAGATTTATAAAATTAAAAATAATAGAAAATGGGATAAATGAGATAGAATAGTTTTGAGAAAAATAAAAACTCTTTTGAAAAAAATCTAATAAAATATTTTGCATAAAAAAAATCAAAATAATTTTTATGCTTTTAAATGAAAGAAAAAACATTTAAAACATATTGCTCTCAGAAAACCCTGGCAATAAGGTTTTTTTGGAATGCAATTTATACATTAATTCCACTACTATATTCCAGACATGGTGAAACTGGATTAATAACACTACTAACAATTAATGAAAAGTGCTAAAATTGGAATTCTGAATTAATTTAAGTTCTTAAGCATGATTTTCTTTGTGTTGTTTTTCATTTTTTATATTGAAGAAAGTCTCTACAAGCGCTAATTTTTAATAACCTATCCCTATTCACCATTGACTTAAACAAGGTTGCAAACTGGTGTGGGAAGGAAATATGGTACTGGAAGTATTTTTTTTTTTTTTTTTTTTTTTGTCTATGGAAGTTTAAACTGGAAATTTACATCTGAAAAATCACGAACAGACACCTATATTTATCACAGATTTATCCATATTTACCACATAAACAGAAAAATAATTTTAAGAGATTTATCTAAAATGAAAAATTTGTAAATTTATGACAAGTGTTTTGTCATAAAAAGATGCTGATGCATGCACAGGGGAAAGGAAATGTCAACAATAAATTTGCTTCTTCAGTTGAAACATTATACACGTAATTTTTAAAAATTTCATTTTCTTCTACATATACGAAAGTATTGCCATTTAATTTGCCATGCTAAGTTATCAGAAAAGGGGGGTTGTTGAACGTGGATTACAGATATATACAGATTATATGAATTCTACTTCATTTGCAATCTGATCAGTAAATGTTAAAATTATCGAACATTATTATATTATTATCATCTTTGGTACTGAATAGATTTTTCAAGAAATATTACTACAAAAATTTAAAGCTTTAACATATTTGAATTAAATAACTGCAGTTATTATTGTGATAATGGTGTGGAACAATAAAAAAAGCAAAATACAGAAAAGAAACAGTGAGAACTGAATGGTATATGGAAATTAACTGAATCATGAAGTCTCACAAATTTTCATTACATAATTTACTAAAATTAAAAAAATAATAAAAAAAAACTATTTCTTGAATTTGATCGAGTAATTTTAACATCTCATCTAATTCAGATAAGAAATGTTTTTGTTTATAGTCTTACACATATTTTTAATGTCTGTTCACCGTTTTGCATAATCTGTCATTCTTATGCAAAATTTTCAGTTTGATTATTGTACTCTTATAAGTTTGGAGTTAACTTTAAAATATGTAATTTCATATGTAATAATAATATTAACTAATATAATAAATAATAATGCATTCACCTAATTTATAAACTTTTCAAATGTTTTGAAAAATACTTGTTAAATATTTTCTTCAGACTTTTTAAACAATCTTTAACAAATTATTTGGGTTATTCTACCTGACATGTATGCCAATTCTGGTGCAAAAGGTTACACAGAAACATATTCGATGTATCTGAATGAGCAATAAAAAATAACAAACGTTAATAAAATATAAAGCAACCCTTAGAGATTTTATGAGGTTGAGTAAACCTCGAGTATTTTGTTCTCAAATATTAGCTGTATCAAAATTAAGCGACATTCAATAAAATCTCACATTTTATAATACAATTATAGCAAACTGCATTTCAAAGTTGCTTTGAAGTTTATATTTCTCAAGGCAACAGTAATTTTTGAATAGTTTAAATAATGAATATTAACAACATCAATAAGGCATACAGTTTTCCCATACAAAATAAAAAAAATATATGTAATAAATGTGATTTTTATGTTACACATTCTGGGAGCTTAATAAGAACAAAATATATATGTATATATATTTATATATATCAACTGCAAAAATGCACAGGCAATATATTCAAAAGCACCATGTAAAGTGATTTCAGATAATACACTATGTTAACAAAAATGCTCTTCTTGAAATGTATATATATGCTTTAGCTGGTGTTTCTGCAGAATCTCATAATGAGGTAACATATGGATGGCTCTCCAAGATGCTGTCTGCGAGTTTTCAAACAATTTCAAACATTCTTACATTTCCATTTTCTTAAATTCATTTTTTTTTCTAGATAATGAAATGATAAATAAGTTTTAAAAAGCATTCAAAAAATAAAATTATACATTTTAGAAATATTTGGTTACACATAAAAGAAAAATTCTTAAGGATGTTAGAAACTCATTCAGGAAGTCTATTTTATTAATGTGATTCTTTGGTCAATTCTAAATTCCTCATTTGCTCTGTTACAGACATCTAATCTTTATAAAAATGCTCTGTAACCTTTTCATATTATTCTCTTTCATATTCTTATCTGTATCACATAGTTTTAAAGAATGAAAAATGAGCTTGAATGAGAACCATTAAAAATTATAATACTGTAAATTACATAAAAGGAGTCATTTTTAGCTTCCTATATGGTTGGGGATCAGGAATTCCACAGCTATTTCTCTATTCCTGTTCTTTAATAAGTTTAAATATATGGCTGTTAATCCACATATGATTTGCTATCAAAGCAACATGACCGGTAAAAAGAATATTAAAAAAAAGTTCATTACACAACCACCTGCAGTTTTATCATTTGAAATTAGCCCGGATAACAAGATTTCCAGTCTAAAAATTACATATATATCTATATGTTAAATAAACAGTGAATAGCCTTTGGCTGGTTTGACAAGTTATAATTAATACGCTAAATACAAGAATAAAATACAATAAGCACAACATTGATAAAGCTCACTGTCAGATTCAAACTTTATCAAAAGGTGGTAGAATCTGACACTGGTATCACTACTTTATCCGACATACTGTAAATAATATTTCTATTTGTTTCAAATTAGCAGAAGCACCAAAATTAATCATTTTAAATTTGTACCTCTGAAAATTAAACATAGCACCCCTACATATTCAGCCTGCCAAACAAATAAAATCAACATCCAAATAGAAAATATGTGTATCAAAAAATCCAATAAATTCGAAAAAGAAAAAAAAAAAAAAAAGTCTAAATGGCCTAAACAATTTTTTAAAGTGAAAACTATCAACTATTGGCAAAAAATGCAAGTTCGTTTTATCTTGAATTAATTAAACTATCATCAATGTTTAATAAGTATTCAATATCTACTTTCAAAAAGATGTAAATAAATAGGCCAGGAATAAGTTGTAATGTGGTTGGCAGGGATATTATAGGCTACTTTTAATCTCACAAAGTAATACAGGGAAAAGAAGTTTCAAACAATAAAGAAAAACTGTAAACTATCAAAATGTAATCAATCAAAATTAATTCTGGCAAAATCTAGAAAACAAATAAGAAAGCTAGGGCAGAATAATAAACCTTTATGTTTTTTTGGCTGCAAAAAGTACAAAATGACCAATTTAGTAAAAGAATGGGCCAGAATGTGAGAAAATTAATATTACAAATTTACAGTAAATTACAAAATTTACAAATCTTATACATGCTATAAATCTTTCTTACCCATCCACCTCATTTCTCCTGTTAGGTTTAAAAATGGGTTTCACTGTGTAATAAAACATTCAGAGTTCATAGACTACTCCAGCTCTTTTAAACTTTTTTTTTAAAAATGATAATTTCTGATATTAGTAGGCACAGTCTGCATATTAGTAGACATAGTCTGTGACAGTAAAATATACTGCTGGCCACCGTAAATGCAACACCCTGAAGGAAGCATGCAAATAACATAAAATTTACAACATGCATTAGCAGAGGTAAGATATGCAAATGATTAGAATTTCAGCGCAGACGTACATCACGCGCGCATATGGCGCCACTTCAAAGCGCTATTTAACGGTTGGAGTTTTCAACGATTTCAAGTTCGGCAATCGTATTTTTCTTGTGGTTTTTTTCCAAAAAAACAATCAATTATGCCTGGTAGTAAACAATGATCATCGTTTGATCAAGTATCCAAGTTCGACAGAGGAAGGAGAGTGGCCCACGAGAGTATGGATTTTCTTTCAGGGAAATCAGTAGTCGTGCTGGACGAAACCAAACAACTGTAATGCGGATATATGAACGTTGGATTCAGGAGGGTACAACGTACCGACATGTTCAATCACATCCACCTCAGCGCACCACTTCATGTGATGACAGGAACATTGTGCGCATGGCAGTGACGGATCGCGAACCATAGTACAGCACATTCAGTCTGTAACGCATCATCCAGTGTCTGCGCGTACCGTTCGATGCCGCTTACAGCAGAGTGGTCTGTCTGCAAGACGCCTACCCTTGATGCAGAACCACAGACGTCTCCGCCACCAATGGTGCGATGAAAGAAGGATGTGGACGGTAGAATGGAATGAAATTGTCTTTACTGAGTCATGCTTCTGTCTGCAACACCACGATGGTCAGATTCGAGTCTGAAGACAACGTGGTGAGAGGATACTGAACAGCTGCGTTATGCACTGCCACACTGGTCCTGCACCAGGTATTATGGTATGGGGCGGTATTGGATATCACTCTCGTACTCCTCTAGTATGCATTGCTGGTACTTTAAACAGCCAGCGCTACATCTCCGAGGTGTTGGAGTCAATTGTCCTTCCTTACCTTCAGAGCTTGCCCACAGCCATATTTCAACAGGCTAATGCACGACCACATGTGGCACGCATTGTCAAAGGGTTCTTCGTCAATCGCCAGATAGAATTGCTTCCCTGGCCTTCTTTAGTCTGTATGCTTTGTAACTCTAGACAGTTCATGGATAAGGAGCATATTGATGAATGCACTACACTATTACCTTTTAATTCTATTGTTCTTAAGTATTAGGAAGCAAGATCAAGACTAATGGCTTAGTAGCCAAATGTCTGACATTCGCATAAATAAATAAATTACTTACAGGCAGAATTGAGGATTCAAATTTTTCCTTTTAAAATCTTGACTGTATTTACTGTCAGGCCCCAGTTTACTTTTACATTAATGCTCATAAAAGATATGGTACTTAAAATTGTAAATGTAATTTGTAAATTTGTTTAATTTTGCAATCTGGGTTATTGATTAAAGGCATGTTCGAGATAAACATACTCATGAAACACAAACACTAAGCTTTAATGGACTGTAGCTTTATTTCTTTTAACTTCTGTTTGGATGGACACTCTTGCCATCGCATAGGTGCACCTCCTCAGCACGCAATCAAGCACACTAATAATGGCCGCTAGCTAACCACGTTGTCGTTTTCTCCCATCGTGGTTGCCAGATCACTTCTGCCTTAACATACCGCCCGGGTTGGGCATTTGTTACATAGTTAACAATGACCAAAATTAAACAGTTTTAAATCACCATATAGTCCAAATCATATATCACAAAATTTAAATTGATACACATGAACAAAAGCAATAAACATAATTAACCACAGAACATGAAATGCACAACATCTAAATTAAAATACAATGCATATATATATAACAATTTTTTGAACTCAGGAAATATACATGAAATTATGTAACATCTACTGGTAGTACAGCTAATTTAGTTATTGGTCTTTTTAAAAAACCTGACTTGGTTTTTACAATACAAACTCTAACCTTTTTATCCTTACCATAAATTACCTCTTCTATTTTACCCAGTAACCAAGTCGAAGTGGGCATGTTGTCTTCCTTTACTAAAACTATAGTGCCCTTTTTAACGTTATCCTTAGAGAAATACCACTTAAATCGTTGCTGTAAATGACTGATGTAATCATTTTGCCATCTTTTCCACAAATATTGCGTTACTTTAGTAGTGCGCTGCCAGCGCTTTAAAGAACTATCAGAAAAATCAGTTAAATCAGGCTCTGTTATTGATGTTAAAGGTCGCCCGACTAGAAAGTGTGCGGGTGTAAGAGCTTCTAAATCATTGGTGTCATTTGACAAAGGGGATATTGGACGTGAATTTAAAATTCCTTCAATCTGGTTCAAAATTGTAAGAAACTCCTCAAATGTAAAAATCAATCTCCCAACTGCACGCTTAAGATAAAACTTAAACGACTTAACACCTGCCTCCCAGATACCTCCAAAGTGAGGAGCCCTGGGAGGGATAAACTTCCAATGAATTCTTTCAGATGTCAGATATTTGGTTAAGAATTCATCAGGGTATTTCAACAAATTGTAGAGTCGCTTCAATTCATTGCTAGCCCCAACAAAATTTCGAGCGTTATCGCTAAATAAGGTTGCGCATTTACCCCTTCTAGAAATAAATCGCTTCAAAGCAGCAATAAATGATTCTGTAGACAAATTTGAAACGATCTCGAGGTGGACTGCACGAGTCAAGAGGCAAACAAAAATTGCAACATAAATCTTGTGCACTACGCTCTTCTTCTGAGTTGTATACTTTATACCAAAAGGGCCACAAAAGTCAACACCAGTATGGTTAAAGGGAAAGGATGGATTCAGTCTCTCTAATGGTAAATTTCCCATCTTTTGATCCAGCAATACTGGTTTTACTTTGGCACACGTAACACATTCTCTTACTATCTTTCTAGCAAGATTACGCCCACTTATCGGCCAAAATTTTTGTCTAACACTATGCAAGAGCGCTTGTGCTCCAGTATGAAAGTTTCGAATATGGTAGTGTAACATAATTAAATGAGTCAGTTTATGATTTTTTGGCAGGACAGCAGGGTGCTTTGTGTTAAAGGGTAAGTTAGCTTCCTGCAGTCTACCACCTACTCTAATAACTTGAGATTCATCTAAAAAGGGACATAAAAATTTTAACTGACTATTTTTACATACTTCCCTTCTCTTACTTAAGTTCTTGAATTCTTCAGGAAAGTTTTGACATTGGACTAAGGAAAGTAATTTATTTTCGCTTAACGAAACCTCATCTACTGTCAGATGACCTACTTGTTTTTCCTTGGATCTACAATTCTTATAAATCTTAAAACATAAGCAAAAACATTAATTAATTTAGCATAACAATTAGTAATACTAAAAACATAATCCAAAAGAGAATTTTTAACAGTTACGGTCAAATTTACATTAGAAATAAGTTTCAGTTCGCGCACATAGTTCTCATTTGAATTTTCAAAGTTATTATTAACACTATAATTAATGACCTGTTGATGCAGAAAATTTGGTCCTTGAAACCACAAAGAGTTGTCAGCAATAATTTCCGGTCTCAGACCGCGAGAAATTAGGTCAGCGGGATTGTCTGCTGTTCTGACATGTTGCCAGCAGAAATCCTTAGTTAGCTCTTGGATACGAGCTACTCTATTTGACACAAACACTTTTAGAAGATGAGGAGATGTAGCAATCCAGGCTAACACAATTGTTGAATCTGTGTACAGAATAACTTTGTCAACATATAAACTCAAAGATGTTATTACCTTACACACAAGTTTGGAAAGGAGCTCTGCTGCACACAACTCCAGACGAGGAATGGTTATTACCTTTGATAGGCGATACTCGAGATTTGCTGCAAAGTAAAGTCACTTTAACTTCGCCAATTTTAGAGACACAGCGCAAGTAAATTACTCCACCATATCCAAACTTTGAAGCATCAGCAAAACAGTGGAGCTCAATTTCTTTAATTGATTCTATTAGAGTGCAACGAGGGACTTTGATTTGTTTCAACTCTGGTAGGGCCTTTTGAAATGTCTCCCATTCTTGTCGCTCTTTGAAAGGAAGTGGATCATCCCACTCTAGATGTAAAAGCCACAGCCTTTGCAGGAATATCTTAGCACGCATGATTACAGGCCCTAGGAAACCTAAAGGATCAAACAGTTTAGCAATATCTGCCAAAACCGTGCGTTTTTGTACAGATTTTTGACGAACTAGACACAGTAAAACTAAAAGAGTCTTCTTCTGGATTCCATCTTAAACCCAGAGTCTTTACGGTGCTTTGTGAAGATTCTCCAAAACGATACTCTTGTTTTTCGAATGGAACTTGTTCTAAAAGAATTTTTTCGTTTGAGCACCACTTGTGCAATTCCATTTTCGCAGATTGTAGCATGTCTATTAACTGCCGCTGCAATTCTACAGCAGAGGTGACATCTTCTGCACCAGACAAAATGTCATCAACATAAAAATCGTTGAGTGTCGTTTTAGAAGCCAATGGATACTTATCCTTTTCATCTAAGGCTAACTGCTTCAAACACTCTTGTTGCTAAAAAAGGCGCTGATTTTGTTCCATATGTTACCGTAAGTAATTGATAAAGTTTAGATGCATCATGCATCATTCAACGTATTTTTCCAAAGTATGCATTGAAGTTTTGCGTTGCTCAGGATCTATACGAATCTGCCGATACATTTTGCATATATCAGCAGTGAAAGCCACCTTGTGTTTTCTAAATCGTAGCAAGATAGCAAAACAGGTCATCTTGAACTACACCTCCATTCATCAAACAGTCGTTTAATGAAAAACCAGACGATGAAGGAGCCGATGCGTCGAATACCACTCGTAACTTAGTTGTACTGCTGTCTGCCTTATAAACACCATGATGAGGCATTATGTATTTAGGAGTTTCCGTCACACTCTGCATTTTTTGCATATGCCCTAACGCTTCATATTCACTCATGAACTCACAATACATCCTAGACATGTCAGGGGTTTTGTCTAGTCTCTTCCACAAATTATTTAACCGTTGGGTGGCTAATTGCGAAGAATCACCCAAATGAACATCTTGCCTTAATGGTAGCGTCACTACATATCTACCCTCAATATCCCTCTGATGGGTTTTTCTAAAATGCTCCTCACATTCTACTTCTTCTTTATTTTTTATTTTGAGAGATTCTGTAACAGCCTCAATTTCCCAAAAGGACTTGATTAGTGAATTTAAGTCTTCTTCGACTTTCATAAATCCGCACTGAATCGTATTGCCTGAATTTGAACCAACATTTACACCGGTAGCAATGTATCCAAATACGGAATTTTGAAGAGTTAAATTAGAATTTCGTGGATGAATTTGATCAGCCTTCAATAGTTCATAAAAGCATTCTGCACCTAACAAGGCATCTATTTTCTGGGGCTTGTTAAAATGAGGATCCGCTAGTTTGATCTTTTGCGGAAGCTGTGAAAATGAAAATTTAAAATAATTCACTGGTACCAAATCATTAATTTTAGGTACAACAAAGAATTCGAGAGCACGGTGGTAATCACGCTTGTTTGATATCACAGCAGTAAGCTTGGATTTTACCGATAGAGCTTTTCCATTTAAACATGAAATTGATATGTTAATTTTACTACTCCCTTTTATTCCAAGCCTATTAGCGAAATCATAGGTGAAACACGAACACTGACTTCCGCAGTCAAGTAAAGCTCGACAAGCAATAAAATTCCCGCAAGAATCTTTAACATAAATAATAGCAGTAGATAGTAATACCTCCTTCGAAATCACTTGTGAAGCAGTTACAGACGAACCAACTAAATTCCGAATTGTTTATTTGGTTGCAATTAGATAACATTTCAAAACATCTGGCGTCAGGGTTTAGATTCGAGTTGTCTACTAAAGGAGGGTCAGAATTATTAGCCGGTGCTTCCTCCTTCCCCACACAACTCGCTATAGTAGCAGGTGAATGCGAAATGTCTTGATTGGGAAAATGCAGTAAACTATGTGGTGTTTTTTCATGCATTTTGAACAGCTGAATTCTGAACGACAGTTCTTTGCAGTATGAGTCGGATTAAAACCCAAGCAATTAAAGCATAATTTATGTTTCTTAACAAATTCAAGACGTTCACTTACAGTCATTTTCAAGAAAGAATTACATTTATACAACTTGTGAAAATTGATACTTTTACAACAAATACATTTAAAATCTTGACCTTTAACATTTGACACTAAGGCAGTCACCTTTTGAATAGGTTGACCCTTTTTTGCATTAAACACATTAGATGACTTTGACGACTGCAAAGTTCTAGCATGATTTTTTAGAAATGTAATAAGCTCAGATAATTTAGGTAACTCACTTGTTTTTGAATCTCTTTCCCACCAAAGACGAGTGGAAACATCCAATTTTTGCAGCAAAATATATGCAAGAAATGTTTCTGCGAATCCCTCTATTTTTTGGTCTAATATTTCCAGAGACCTTACACTTTCATTCACTGTGTCTACTAATTTCAAAATAGAAGACGGGCTTTCATTTTGTATGGGAGAAATTGACATGAAACGCTTTATCTGAGCGAAAACCTGATCACGTTTATTGGAGTATCTCTCTTCTAAAAAATCCCAAGCAATTTTATAGTTATTGTCACAAATTGTGACTGATTGAATAATCCTAGCTGCTTCGCCATGAAGCGATAACTTCAAATACGAGAGCTTTTGGGAATCCGATAATACATTATTATTATGAATGCTTGAAATGAAAAGATCCCGAAAGCTTAACCAATCTTGAATATTTCCACTAAAAGACGGCAAGTTTAATTTAGGTAATTTCATACCTTGTGCACTGGTATTTTCAATCTTTACATTACTTGCATCTTTAGCACTAAATTTTGACATTTGTCGTTTAACCTTAACCCACAAAGTATCAATGCTGTCTTGAACAGTTTTTGTTGTTCAGTTACATATTTGTCAAACTCTTTTTCATCAACTATTACAAATAATTTATCAAAAATATCTGAACATTCATTATTAAATTTTGCACATTTATTTTCAAAAAGTTGTAACTGAAATTCATCACAAGTATATTTTTCGAAAGTCTGATGTCGCTTTCGTTATATTTGACTTTAAAATTCTTTTCTTAATTAAAAATGCTTCCATAATTAACGTTAATTAATAATACCGAACATATGAGCAAATTCACTTACCTCCGTTTGAGGTAATCCAAATGAACCCGAAATTTGTAAATCCAAACACACACTAATTTTTATGTCGAATTCGAAGTAACATATCACACTTTTTTATCAATTTAACACTTCACCTTTAAGCTTTTTAACCAGCACTTTATCCATAGGCACTAATCTTCCTACCGGGTTGCACGGACCACAGTTATGTTCGAGAATAAACATACTCATGAAACACAAACACTAAGATTTAATGGACTGTAGCTTTATTTCTTTTAACTTCTGTTTGGATGGACACTCTTGCCATCGCATAGGTGCACCTCCCAGAACGCAATCAAACACAATAATGGCCGCTAGCTAACCACGTTGTCGTTTTCTCTCATCGTGGTTGCCAGGTCACTTCTGCCTTAACACTATTGAATGCTAACTTCAATTTTCTAAGTATCTGAAGTACTGATTATGTAAGAAGTAAATCATGTAGAAAGTAACTGTGCATGTTTTAATAATTGTTGAGTAACGTTAACTTCCGGAGTTTAAATTTAGTCTTTGAAAAAGATAAATTAACTTCAAATAGCCAAGTTATGTCAATGAAATGAATAGAGCATGTCCTGAATATGTATATACACTTTGAATGAAAGTCAGATGTGTGATTTATTTCAGAAATTTAAAAGAGCTAACAGAAGTAAATAATTTGTTTTAATGCCTATTATTAAATTTGGCTAAAATTTAAAGATGTAAAATAGTATTTTCCCCCTCTTTGTCACGAGTTGTCGTGGTACAAATGGAAACATTTTTGACTAGCAATCGCAAGATCCGAAGTTCGAATACCGGGTAGGGTATTACCACCTTGTTTGAATGAGCATTTTACATTTTCCATGTTTATTACTTCAATAAGTATGAGAAGGGTTTTTGTCGTTTCATGAAAAATTTTGAAGTTTACGATTTTATTTAATTACATATTTTTATTTATAATTATTGATTAATAGTTTTAGTTATACAGAAGGCTCTATAATTGAAAAATTATATAGATAGACAAAGTCCTGTAATTAACTTTTCTAAGAACTACACACAGTTATTTAATATCAAATTTTACTTTAAAATATTAAAAATTATCTGCAAAAATGAATATTATTTTTTTATTAATGCTTGCTTTTAAACGTTACCTCAGCGTTGCAGTTATTCTTTTTTAAAAATTATCATTCTTCGCATACCTTGATGAGAATTATTTACATAGCAGCAGTCTTTAATTCGAGAACATGGATTATTCTGAGGATGTAACTTTTCCAATGGCAGCCCTTTCAAATGCGAGCAGCACGTGATTTTAAAATTCCTACCTCACGTCGAGCTAAATTATACATTTTCATCATTTCTGATGATAAATTTACCATCAACTTTTCTTACCTTTTAATGAGCATTGATGTACGAGGTCTTCCACCAACATTTAAATTCTGAAGAGATAAATCTGTCTAGAAAAGGTGGATCTGTTTGGAACACTCTCTCTCCTAACTCTCCTTCAACTTTAACTGAATTTTCAAAGTTCCAGTAATACCTTAAGAAAATATTTCTTTTTTCAATACGTAATCTACCTCTTACCTTTATTTTACATCGGTTAAACCGGAAAAGAAAAATAATTAAGTGATTTATCAAGTGTTAAAGTGTACATAAATCTTGTAAGACATTTTATATTTTAATCACTTAAAAGCAGTAAATTCAGATTCTGCAGCTGGCAGCAGCTTTCAATAAAGCACAAAGGACTTATCATTTATGTTTTCGATTCTCAAATGTTGGAGAAAATTCTTTCCTTAGTACACCTAACTTTTAAAAAAAAAATTCCTTAAGGTACTAAGCTCAAAATTTGGTAATGATTTCAAATTATATATGTTATATTATATACAAAATGGCACGAATGATCTCTAAAAATATCATGCAAACATATACATTTAGGTAAATTTTCTAAAAGAAATTTTTTTAAAAATTATTAAACAAAATTTACCGCGGGAAAGCAAGAGCTTTAAATACTTCCACAATTATTAAAACCCGTAACATTTCCTAAATATCATTCGCAATAGAATTAGAAAATACGCTATCATCGTCTTAAACGAAGTATGGAAAAATTGCACTTTTATACATTACGCATATATCATCCAAATCTTAACAGCTTCAGGAAAAACTTCGTTCTGTGAATTAGTTTTTGCATATAGAGGTTCATTCAAGCAGAAATAAACCCTATATTGCAGGGATTCTCAACTGGTGATAGACGTACCACTGGTTGTACGGCAAAAGAAACAAAGTATTTTTAACAAATAAATTCAAAAATCTCCTGAAGAAAAAGAACAATTGATAGAAAATTTCCTGTGATCGAACTCTAACTGAAGATTTAAAAAAACACACTTTTTAACTTTTTTGCTGAACCGGAAAAAAAAAAAAAAAAATTAAAGGCATTTCAAATAAAGCTATTAAATTTTTATTGCCTTTTTGCACAACTTATTTGTGCGAACAAGGATTTTTCGCTCATATCATATTGGAAAATAAATACAGAACAAAATTAAAAGGTTAAAGCTAAGTGAAATAAGACCAGATATAACGAAATTTATCTCTCTGAAACGGGCCCAAATTTCGCCCTAAATTTTAGAATTAAATTATTATAACTTAAATTCTAATAATTAAAATGGTAACCAATTTTTAATCTAATATTTTTAATGTGTACATATTTAATGCAAATAGCCAATAGGTGTGCAAATGGCAAAATATATTTTTTTAAATATTTCTATTGAGAAATTGAAAAAAAAAATCATTGTAAAATGTAGTGGTAGTACTAAAGTTCTTCAGTTTTTGTTTAGATGGTACGCGCTAGTCAAAACATTGAGAACCGCTGCTATACTGTGTTAACTCGATGTTCAGAACTACAAAGAGTTCTCAAGTTACATTTCCAAAATCTGCAAAGTTTTCATTTCTGAATGTGCAGATTGAATCTCTTGATGACCTCTTCATTAAGCGGGAAAAACACAAGTGCCATTCTGGGATAGAAGGCCTGACTTTGCGTCCGTTTTCAAAAGGGAGGAACAGGTATACGCCCACGGGACAATAGGGTTCCACATTAGGAGATAATTACACGATGGCAGCGCGCGTGCTCATCTCTCGCCCAAGATGTCACGCAATACGGAAAGGCAGGCAGCATTTTTACTTTTTACCTCCTAAGAAGCTAGATTTGCTTTGTGGGTGGCTTGCTGGACGCAAATCCACATGAGTTTTATTCAAACTGAACATGCTCGCTTGCTCATTGGGGAGTAGGAATGGGAGGAAGAAAGGGGGGAATCTTTGTGATCCCTCTCATTATCTCAACCAAAATATAATGCGACAAAGCTGCTTGGGGCAATGTTCTATGCGTTTTGGACATAGACCGTTGCTCGAAGATGTAGCCATTATCAGCCATAGCGTAGTGAAAGGATAAAATCAATGGTATCTGGTCTAACTGAGAGCAATCTGAATGCATCATATAAAAGTTCACTGGAAATGGAACCGTTTTTGTAGATGTGGTCCACAAAAATCCTCACGGCTTTTATTTCCGCATATTTAAAGAAACGATTGCAGCTAAGGGAAAACAACTGTGATTTGTCGCGGAAAAGGATAATGAAACTGGAAAAAGCTAAAACATAAGGATTTTGAAAGCGTTAAAAAATGATTGTCAATTACTAAAGAAGATAAAATTTTGTTAATATGAAAGGGTTCAAAGAAATCCAGTTTACATTACATTTTGTTTCGCTTTGCTCCGCTCATTCTTTTTATATAAAATAGTTTCACTCTTTCAACTGCTGAAATTTTCTTTTCCACTTCGGAAATATGGAGACCTATATCCGATTACTGTCGAAGTTGATTTCGAAATCTACTCCAAAATGAGGTTGCTTTTGTGTCCAATTTTAAAATTCATAGTTTCTTTGACAATAGATTAGGTCAACATGGTCCTTGATCATACACCTCCTTGTTACGTACCATAAAAGCAGCCAATTTTTCCTTCATAAATAGGAGAAACATTTACTACAATATTGTCGCTTTTTGTTGTTGATGTTGCTTGCTGTCAGTTAAACGTGCTGTCCGTTAAATGCCTTGTCGTCTAATTGTCCTGTCGGCTAACTGTTCGAGTCGATTAAATGCACGTGTCGTTTAAATCTGCTGGTTAAGTGTCCACAACCGCAGTTGGACACCAGAGCAGTTGGCCACGAATGTGGCATGATGTGTTGAGCAAAGAGGTTATGAACTGTGAAAGTATTAGAAATCTGAAAGCAGTGGGAAGAGCGAGACTCATTGTCGGCGAAATGTCCTGTCGGCTAACTGTCCGTGTCGGGAAAATGTCCTGACAGCTAAGTGTTCTTGTCGGCTAAATGTCCTGTCAGCCAAATGTCCTGTCGGCAAACTGTCTTTGTCGGTTAAGCGTCCTGTTGGCTAAGTGTCCATGTCAGCTAAGTGTCCATGTCAGCTTCAGCTAAGTGTCCATGTCAGCTAAGTGTCCATGACAGCTAAGTGTCCTGTTGGTTAACTGGTGTCGGTTAAATGTCTCGTCGGCTGTGTCCGCAACCGCAACACATGCTGCATGGGATTAACCCAGCGCCGGGAGAACGAAGTGCAGTCACGGGACCGGACCCTCTGAAATGGAGCGTTGCTACCGGCCCGCGCATTTTCAGCAGTTAAGCCTAATTTTACAAAAAAAAAAAAAAAAAAATCGAATAAAATCAGCATTTTTATATTATGAGTTCAATTTTTGAGGTTGCGTATTTAATGTATTTGTTTTTAATGTGTATTAATATAAAGAATATCGCATTAATAGAAATAAATTAAACCGGCAAAATACTAAAATATAACTAACACAAGAAAAGTACTATAACATGAAAAATTTTACAAATATGAAATTTAAAAAAAAAAACTAAATAAGAATATTTGTAGGTCATTAATTCCAATTTAAAAATTCTGCTGTGTGTGGAATAATTCAAAACAAAGATCGACACACAGCCGTACATTACATATTTTACACTCAAAATACGTTGTTTATTTTTGCTTTTCCTTGGTTTTAGCGCACACAACGCATCTTTCTCCTACCTTTATTACCTCCTCCGTCAACGTAAATTTTCGGAAACTGTCTTCCAGTTAGACGGAAAGGTGGAGTGTCCGGTGATTTTGGACAAATTTTAAAGTTTTTAAGTAAGGTTTTAAGTAAGCCATGGCTAACGGAATGAAACTGAATATAACCCCAACACGTGTCACAAAACTTCAAAAGACACTAAGAAATATTTCATCCTCAAAGACTGTGTGACATCAGGCTTATATTAGAAGACTTCCTGTTTTTCTAA